ACAAACAATGCATCCAGGATACTAGTTCAGGTCCCAAAGGGTCAGGGAGCTGTAAGCATATTAAAAACTTCATCACATAAATCACTGCAGTGAAATGTAAAGCTGTCCAAATGAGCCGGTGTAAGTTACATATAGTGCTTCTCTGGTCAACTATCATACTAAAGCAGCAATATTACCAGAATCGGAGCATATGACCTGTAGCTCTTGACTTTGAAGGAGTTCTTTAACAACATACCGTTCCTTAGTTGTGGTGCACGCCTGAGGCTACTCTTTTCCGAGAAGCCAACAGGCTCTCCTTGTGTCCTACTGACATGACACTAGATTGCTGGCACCCGTCAGACACACGTGACCCCACCCACCAGCCACTCTGAATGGACACCTGGCAAACTCACTAAGATCACAAGCAGGTCACACCTGGATAGACACACGGCCCATAGCAGCATAGATGCAAAGCGAGTCATTTCCATGAGCTGAATGTTAAAAAGAAACCGCAGACTCTTGATTTTGGTATCAGTTCCATTTATTTGCTTGTCCCTCTTTCCCTCAGACAGGTACCAGGGTGACAGAATAAGCTGTGCTTACGTGAGAGTACCAACCAATCCTGAAGGGTCATATGGCAGTTGAGACAAAATCAGAAAATGTAAACCCATAAACTGAAATATCAGAAATGCACACTGTGTCCACCAAATGTCCCAATGAGATGCAGTCACTGCTTAAACAGACACACACTCCACAAATGCCTAAGTAAGATTCAGAATCCAAATTTATTTTAACAAGACCAAAATACACTAACATGTTAGCCAAAGGCAAGGGTGACCAACCACAAATGAATGTAAGACTGCATCAGCCTAAGTCCGAAAGGGTTGGCCCTTGTCTTTGTTATGACTTATTACTATGAGCAGGGATGTTTTGACATCAAACAATGCCCCCTTTTCCCCAAAGCAAATAAAAAAAATACGAAAACAGGAGTAGTTTACCATAGGAAAACTGGGTTTATATAGCTGCACAACGGCGTGCGGCTCTGCGCTGTTTACGGGTGAGATGGAGTTTTTTTTCCTTAAATGGCTGAGTTCTACATATAAACACCACGAATAACTCCTTGCCCAGCCCTCCAGCACCCATTGCACACGAAAAACAGTAAAACACACCAAACCTGAAGTCCCACACAGAAGAACGGGTGACATTTTAACCCAGAAACGGTGTCTGCCAAATTTCACGGCACTATACGCTTTTATTTCACGCTTCGCGCTGGGGTGGAAACACAACCTCGGACCTTAGACTGCAGATGTTTCCTCCACATCGCCCATCTGCCTTTGGTGCGCCGTCAACTTGGTTCAGAAAATACGGGGTGGGGGGGGCTTGGTGACAAATAACGGACCTCGGGTCGTCCTTAATCCAGATGCCAGCCGTGGCACTTAGGCACACTGTTTACAAGCTGTGCACGTTAGCGATCAACATCAGTCCACCATATTAAAAGAGATAGGAGTATGAGCCCACGTTAGCAGCGTTATGCAGCGGTAAGATCACAATCCAAGCGAGTGGGGGGGCGCATCCGGACAAAATCGCCTTTAAAACACAACCTCAAGGTCACTCGGCATCTTAAATGCATGAGGGACTGCGATTGCATGCAGGCTGCAAAGGAGGGGGGTCGTCACACTGTATCCTAGTTAAATGCCAGCTGGACACATCTCGGTGGCTCATCGCTCAAATGGCTCCGTTAAAACCTGGGATGGCGATCCGGTCCACCGGGAATATTAACGAGGGAGAAAATGCAAAACCTGCGCTAAGGCAGGGAGAGCTACCCGTCGTCCAGCTCAGCGGCCACATAGCAATGTTTTGGCGGCTTACCTTCCGATAACTCGAGCTCCAGCTCCGCCAGCCTCGCTCGGACCTCCAAGGAAAGATGCAGCGTATCACGGTCCGCCATGCTATTTTTCAGATGATTGTGTTGTATATGTGTGTGTGTGTGTGTGTGTTTGTTTCTTTCCTGTCTTTTTTTTAGCCCAGTCTTTCAACGTCGCCTCCCCCGCCTCCTCCTCTACTCCGCACAGCTGAGCTGCGCCGGACAGACGAGGGACAACGGGACCGAAGGGTCGCAAGGAGGAAAGAGGGGGGGGTCGATGCGGCTCTTCGTCAGCGATGCCCCGCCATGGCCATCCGTCGCTCGCAAAGGTAGGCTGTCGGCGCTGGCGAAGGGAAGGAGGGAGGGCTGGCTGGCTGGCTGCTGCCGCTTCGCAGCGCCCGTCTGCGGCTCTCCTACGGCTCCGACTGTCACGCCCACGTGATCGAGGCCAAACAAAGGCGCCGCTTCAGACCACACGGGGGCGCTATAGCGCCGCTCAAACCCAGCATAAACCGTTACATCTGCCTCCTCCTGCACGTTCCGGGAAATATATAGTCCACTTATGCTGAGAGGGAAAAATATTCAAAATTCCTCAGCGCAGTTATGGTGTGGTATGCAAAGCGGATGTATCGTCAGAATTACAAAAAGCTGCAAAATGATTAACCCTAATTACTTTTTAAAATGTAGGAATGCGTTTCAATCAAACGAATTACGTGGTATACAGCATTGTGACATGTCTGTAAATCCTCACAAAATAATTTTAAAAACACATACGCTCTTATTATTATTATTATTATTAAGTTATTCTTAAAGTTTGATAGGCTACCTTATCTTTTAAAATGACGATTTCCTATTACATGGTATGAATGTACTGGTACATTCGCAATATCCGTCTTCTGACTTGGACCGGAAACCTTTTGGTTAGGCCTGCAAGTCACCGCCAGTTTGGTACTAAGATGAACCATAACTCATAATAAATCAATCAGTATATGTGGGCACGCTGTCCGTCAGATGCCCTTACCTGTTGATGCATCGCATGCTAGGTTTCATATAAAAAAGAACTGAGTCACGAATGAGGTATGCATGTCGTGTGATATTTCGGGGCGGTGACCATTCGCGGCAAGAGCGAATGCCTCTCCATCAGTTAACTGACCATCCGTGGACTCGGGATTCACGATGGTGCGATGCGCAGGGCAGAAACGCGCTCCCATCAGTCACCGTTAATGCCGTGATCCGGCCCGGGGCTCTTTCACTGTTGTCCATCCAAATAACAGCCTATTTCCTGAGCTCTGTTACCTCCTGTTACATTTAGCGGGTGACCCACTTTCGGTAATTGCAATAAAGACACCGCGCTCAGCTCCAAGGCTGTAGTGTAGGGGTAAGGCTGGCTGCACCGATCGCAAACTGCCCCAGTACAGACTCGGGAAGGACCTAAGTTTGTATCCCACCGTGGTCCCAGGTCTCACTGACAGCATTGGCCGTCTCTTCAAATGACATCACCTCGTTTCTGTATAATTACTTTGAAGCCTAAGGGACCGGATAACACATAAATGGATATGGATCTTTCAGAAGCACTTTGGGGCGTGATTTAACATTATTTCGGGAATGAGAGCGGTATCCGAGCTTTTGCACCGCGTCGCACCGTCGGCTGCCGGTTCACAGCGTCCCGAAAAGCCCCTCATTGTCCCACAACATTCACTTAGGAAAAGCGCATTTCCCTTATGCTTCTTATATCGGCCAGTATAACAGCCCCGCAATCTTATCCATCCATCACTGAACGCATGGATGCCACAAGTAAGAAGACTACAGAGGTCAGAGAAACTTAGTTGTTGCTGTCCGGCGGTGATTATACGAAGACATGTAGGCTACGCAGAAACTTACGAGATACTTCCCGTTGAAAACCGCAGGCTCGCGGGCGGTGGACAGGGCCCGCATCGGAGGTGATTCTGACAAATATAACCAATTTATCATGCAGATCTACGTTGTAATTGTGTAGCCCATGTAATGGGGTCCCACCAGACCGGGTCAAAGTGGGTCGTAATCAATGGGCCACTGACACACGCGCACTCTCTCTCAGCGGGCTTCCCTTGCTTTGGCGGCAGCCTATACGTAACGTTTCTGAGGCTAACCGCCGAACGGCAGATGTAAACGGTCCCACGTACTGAACCCAGATACAGTACTCACGAAGCACCCGGGTTAAAATCATTTAAAGCAGTGTTTTTCAACCTTGGGGTCGCGATCCCATGTGGGGTCCCCTGAAATGTCTAGAATTGTTTAAAAAAAAATGTACTGATAAAAAATATTTCTCAACTAATTATTATTCTTTTAAGAATTATGATTAAAACACCACATACAATTTTAAACAACTGTATTCTTTCACGTTCATAAATTGAACTCATTTATTTATAACTAAATGATTGCGATCACCTTCAGGCTTGTAAAGACAAGCTCGCCTAACTGTACATGTGATCAGGGAAAATAAAATGTTACTTTGTGCACTAATCTGGCTACTCTATTTGCAACACGGTATTTGCAACATGATCAAAAACTAATTCTAGAAAAAACGTCTATGAGGTCGCCTGAAATTTGTGATGTCAAAAAAAGATTGGGAACCACTGATTTAAAGTATACAAAGACATTTATCCGCAGTTCGGTTAAAATGTTTAGTAGGTGAAAGGCGGGTGTCCACAGCCAAAGGAGTAAATTTCCCTGTTTCGTGAACACCTTACAGACGGCGGTTGGTGTTACTCACCTGAGTGAAGCGTGCCGCTTAGTACTGTCTCCTCTACGCCGTGGCATATTTCTGTCACCACCTCGTCTTTTATTACAGAATTGTAGTTACGTAGAATTTCAAGCAAGACGCCGAGAAAGAGAAAGCATCCTGGTGTCGGATGAAGGGATTTGGGCGCCCTTCGGAACTACACCGTCTTCACAGGTCATTACAGCTCAGCGTTTGGGGATCACAGCGCCGGCTCTGATCATTGGTGTATCAGCTTCTGTATCAGTTACCGCGTAAAACCTAATCATTAGCAATTCAAACGTTAACGGAAAAGCCCATCTCAGGCTGAATATGGATGTCGAAATAAATCACATTCACTTTGGAAAAACCAAACATGTCAGCAAGGTGCCGGACCCATCAAGAACTGCAGTCATTTGGTTTCGTTTCCAAACAGATTTTTACTTCAACTTAAAAATTATTCGCTCCAAATTTTTACTGAAACAACCAGATCCAGTCCCAGCTTTCAGAAAACGGAATGCAACAATAAATGATTAAAAATAAAAAGTCAAAAAACTAAAACAACCCACAAGAGGTAAACAAAGTCATTTTAACAGAAGCTCAACTGCAAATTCAAATTTGTACAAAATCATGTTACTTTAACATAACCCATTTATTCTATTTACAACTGTACAAGCAAACTGCACTCTCAAGTCTATTTTTAATACAGTATTGACAACCTGAAGATTTGTTACGCCTTAATAAAACTGGAAAAAAAGACAAAAATAAAATTATTACAAAAAAAGTTTAGATTTCTCACCTACAAGGATGCAAAGATAACATTGCATCCATTTGTCCCCTAAGGCAAGTTAACTGGGGTTTAAGCATTTTATTTAAAAAAAAAAAAAAAAAAAAAAGTTAAGGCAAAAGTTATTTTCAAGTTTAAATTCAAGTTTTCAAACACTAGAGAAAAAAAACTGCTGCATGGAGTATGCATTTCTATTGTAAAAGGAAAGTTTACATTAATTCCTGTTATGGAATAGTAATACGTTTCTAACAAATAACTTGGAAGCTGTTTTTAACTTAACTGACAAACCAGGTGCCTCCAAACAAGAAATTAATGTAGAATTTATTAAGTGCCAGTATCAGAGCACACAGCAGTGCCTCTAAATTATACAGCTTCAACTTAATCCATATTTACAGCGATCAGCCTAATAGAAACTAAACATATTCCCATAGGAGGTCAACCCTTTAAGATGCTGCAGGTTCATAAATCCACAAGAAAATTTAAATGTCCTTGACAAAAAAAGAAAAAAACAGGTAAACACAAAGGACTGCAGAGAAAGCTTGAGCGGACTGCATCCCTTTGACACAGGACTAGGAAAAACCCCACCAGTTCTGAAATCGAGGTGTGAATCACCTGTGGTTTGGCAGATTGGTACACTACACCCCGCCCCATCACCTCAGCCCCGCCTAGGCCAAGACTACTCAACAAAGCAGAAGGCCAAGACCCCCGCCAATGAATCCCGAACCTGCGTTCTAGGACACAAGCCTTAATATAACACCACCCAAAATTGAACACTCTGGGGTATCTGATGGACTGTGAATGGAACAGTGCCTGGTGAACAGTAGGGGGAGCTGTTTACCAACATCAAATAACTGCAAGGCAGGAGATGTTTTAATGACCACAGAAACCCAAAATTGAGACATAAAAAAAAAAAAAAAAAAAACAAAACTTCAAGTTCAGCTTTATCCTTAAAACATATAAATATGGCTCACACGAGTCCATAAACACCACAAATAAAATTAAGTCCAACAAAATAAGAAAAAGTGATGGCAAAGCGAGTTACCTGACCTGGCAACACATTTCTGGAGGTTAAGAGCACAGCTGGAGGTCATGAAGGGTCTCAGAGGCCCACAGGCCCAGTAGTGGGTGGGCAGGGGGGGTCATCAGCAGTGGGGGCAGCACCATTTTCCAGAATGGCATCCCTGGGCACCGGTGGGGGGGGCTCTGTCACCCTCTGACAGATCTCCGCATAGCTGGGCTTCTGCAGCTCCTGGGTGTGGACAGATGGTGAGAAGAGATGTGACGTGCTGCTTATGTTGCCCATAATGCCGTGCAGTTCACTGTCCCAGGATCACGTGGCCCACTCACTGTGGCGGCGCCGTTCACTTGGACCGATTTACTTGCGGAGGCAGGTGTTTGGTTCCTGGGGGCCCAGGGCTGCGTGTGCTTTGGCCTCCAGGATGTTGGCCTGCCAGTGGGTAAACAGACACAAGCGTCACGCAGAGTCCGAACTGCCGTTATCACCAGAGCATGGCTATAGGGTATCACTCACCGCGGAGAACCAGGTGGCGTGGGGACATCCTTTGGTGGAGGGGGGCTCTGGAGGGGCTCTCGGGGGGTCCCTGAGGGAACAGCGTCAGTGCTGCTGTCCTGGTTCTCATTCTGGAGAAATAATCACAGTAAAGGGGAGCGGGCATGTAGACCAATCCCCCCTCCCATAAATACCCCAGTGGGTTCCTGGCTGGCAGTCTGGGGGCAGGGGCCCACTCAGCAAACCCCACAGGAAACCAGGTCTCGGTGACACTCACTGCTGGAGCTGGGTTCCTGAGCACGTCCACCCCATCCACTGGGTATCCAGCAGCTCCTGGCAATGAGGGGAAGCCGGACAGGTCCAGCTGAAAGCTGGGGGTGGGGGCCTTCTGAGGCGGGACAATCAGCAGTGGGGACCCTCTCTGTGCAGAAGAGAATGGGAACCAGGCAGAAATCTGAACACCCTCCACCATCCTCCATGGAACCGAAATGCGGCTTATTTGAAATATTATAGGTCCGGGGCCTGCCCAAGCGTTTTCGGGGGTGATTGCGCGTGTGTCAGTGGCCCACTGATTACGACCCACTTTGACCCGGTCTGGTGGGACCCCATTACATGGGCTACACAATTACAATGTAGATCTGCACTGATGCCTTGGGCTGGCCCTGACAGTGTCACACTTACTGTAAACTTGTCGTCCTTCTTCTTTTTGTGGCCAAAAGCAGTTTTCCTTAAACAAAAATTAAAAAAACAGCACCATTTCACATTAATTTCACAGTCTAACGACTAAACTTGCATTAGCTAAAACAAACGTTAAAGATGCTAGTTCACCCCACTAGGATCTGAGTGCCCATCAGCTGATGACATTAAAGTTTACTCCGACAGTGAGTCCGTAACTGTGACACGGAATAATAAATCCCACAACATGAAGATCCTAACCTAACAGACTGAAACATACCTCCCTCTGCCCAAACCGGGGGCGAAGTCGGCCCGGCCCGGTCCAGCGTCCCTGCGGGGATACCCCATACCACCCGAGGCCCGTGTCCGGTTATGTCCCGGCGTGCGGGACAGGGGGCAGTGCAGGCCGTTCGTGACGCACTCTGTGGAGAAGCTGAAGCGGGCGTGCCCTTCCAGGACCTCCGAGTCCACATCGTGGGCTAAGGACCTTGGTGCCGGTCTTCCGTGGGTTCTGGAGCATGGGACAGAACCTGGATCAGGACCAGGGAGGCAGCTGGTGCCGATGCTAATGGCCACGTGCCTCATCTCAAAAGGCCGCATTTACACCAGGGCATGGTGCCAAAATCCAAACTCAGGCCAGAGCGACTCTGACCTGGTCCTGGGGGAGTACTGTCTGGGGTGGGCCGGGCCAGCACAGGACTTGAACGCCGGGGGGGTTGTGAACCCATCCGTGTACTTAGGATTAGGAAATGGCGCCACCTGTGGGGACCAACAATAGGCAGTTGATCTGCGAGACAGAAAAAAAAACAGACACCCCCCGCCCCAATTTAAAAAATGCACTTGCTTTGGGGGTACTCACAAGGGCAGGGTCCAAGAAGCCAGGCACCCCCAGCCATGCCTGGGGGGCCACGACACCATACAGTGGGAACTGCTGGGGGGCGCCATAAAGTGGGGGTCCATAGAACGTTCTGTACCCCCTCTGGGTGTCCCGGGGCCCCTCCAGAGGCCTGTAGCAGTTCTTTGGCAGGAAGGTGTTGATGGCAATGGCCTTAGCTTTCATCCTTGCCTGGGGGGGGGACACAGAAATATGATATTATATATGAATATGAACATTTCACACAGATGCTGTAATATGTTAGAGGTGCTGCGTGGAATGCTCGTCACCTTCACGGGCCTCCCCTGGAAGGTCTTCACCTCCTCTCGAAGGTACTGATAGGCCTGCAGGAGAGCAGACGGTCAGCTGACTGTCCAGGTGCTCCGGCGTGCTGTACCCCCCGCCCCCCAAACGATCCTTTACCCGCTGAGCATCTGCTTCCGATTCAAAAGTGATGAACCAACTGTCGTTGTAGGCGAATTCACAGCTAATGAACTTGGGCTGCTTCTCCCCTTTGAAAAGGGCCTCCACTTCCTGAAAAAGTCAGAAGAGAGAACAGGAGTGTGAATGAGGCACCGCCACCAGAGGGGATGATCTGTGGGGAGCAGCACTGAGATGGGTTTCCAATTTTTTCAGTTTGGTACTGTATAAACAGGCTTAACACTGACACTGAGATCTGGATCTAATCATTTCCTGTGCCAACAGTACGGAAAACCCAGGACCTGTTCAGGTGAAGCTCACCTCCACTGGAGTGGACTCCGGGACCTCCCGCAGAATAACGATGCAGCGGTTCTGATTGGGCCTGACCTTCTCACCCTTTTCATCTACTTGGACCAGTGGCAATGCTGCAGAAAACCAAGAAAGCATCGATCCAAGGTGTCCTATCATTCCATCACATTTCAGTTCCTTTAAGAACAACAGGCATACAGTGTGGGGAAAAAAAATCAATGGGTCAGCGCAAAGACTAAGGCAGAACCGAAACCTGCAAATGTACTGATGCAGAATGCAAATGGATATGCAGAGCTAGGGCGGGGCTTACAGCGCAAGACATTGGTGATGAGCTCCATGTCGTTGCTCAGCTTCTTCACCTGCTCTAGGTTGGCAACCGTTACGATTGGCACATACTGGTCACTGTCCATCTGGGAGACCAGGTACATGTCACCAGCAAGGTTCTCCCTGCGGTGGGGGGGGGTAGGGAGGGTCAGAATCAGAGCTGGGAGTGGCATTTTCTAAACAGATAAACACGATGACTGAGGCATTCAATCAGACGCGGCAGCACTCATCACTCGACCAATCAGGGATCATGTGGTGTAAGATGGGCGGCCTCACCGTGACAGACAGAACTCCAGCGTGTCCCTCAGATGTTCTCTAAGGTCCTCCTGCTCATCCAGCTCACAGGAACCAAACTCTCCTGAAAGCAGGGAGGCAAGGGTCAACAAGATGCGTAAGATGGACCATCTCGAATAACCACCTTCATCTCCATGCAGACTCCACACACGCCTTAGTGGAGTTCAGAACCAAGACCAGGAAGGAAAACTCACCAGCAGTCTGGACCCCTGTGTCTGTGCAGTCTGGACCCTGCAGGTCCATGGTGCTGGTGACCTCTGGACCACCAGACTGGAACTCCTCCAGTTCCTGGTCTGGCTCGTCCTCGGCGGCGGTGACATTGTGGACAGAGAACCCTAAAGATAGAGGCACTGGGGCTCAGTACGACCATGAAAATCTTTTAGGAGTACCATACAAAACAGACAGCACCTCAGCCCACTGGCCTGGTGGAAAATGGAGGGGTGACAGAAGGATTAAAGGTCATCGCTACCCTACAAAGTGTCGTTACATAGAATAACCATGCTTACCTTCCCCATGCAGGTCTGGACCTACAGCAGTTTCTGCCCATGTTTGAGGTGTACCGGGGTCATCAAATCCAGGAGCCCCGAGGTACGGCATGTGATTGGCCCATACCTCTGCGTTTGGGTTCAGGTCAGAAACCTTGACAGAACCCTGAAATGAATCCAAAACCCTTAAGAGCCACGGAAAATATCAGTCGGGGCTCTACTCCGAGCACAAACGCTGAGCTAATGTCTTATGACCTGTAATTTCCTGAATATTAGCAAAAGGATAATGCGGTAATAACACAGAATTAAATGTTTTATTAGGCTGGGGTAAATAATAAGGCCCCATCTCACTGTCCGCCAGCCCTGCAAACTCCTATCAAGCAAACCTAAGTGCTCTGTCACCCTGTCACACAAACGGCAGACAGTAGATTGCAGCATGTGACACAGATCAGCTGTCAGTTGCCGCACAGACACCAATCGGTGGTGCCTCTCAGATCCTGACCTTTATTTTCTGTTCCTGTTGATAGTTATTGTTCAAGCTTCTCTTATCTGGGAGAGCTACTGCGAATATCTTATAAAAGGGCACTGGAGTGATGAGCTTCTCAGTAAATCTGAACTTCTAACCTGAAAGCTCAGCCCCCCGTGTCAACCTTGATGTGGTTGCCAGGTAACTGATCCAATTCCAATGTGTCACCTCAGGCTGACAGCAATGTCCGTGACGTGTTTGCAAGTGCCTTAGACCACAAACAGCTAAAGCCCTTTGTACCTTCCAGTTACACCCGTTAGTTCAGAGGAACCGCACATATCATTCATAACTTTTTCTGCCATTTTCAGAATGGTGCTGCAAGCAAATTTCCTTACACTAAAAGCGACCACAGTCAAGCTGCATTCAGGAATGAAAGCAGGGAGTCAAGAATAGTCACGCTGTAGTGTCTAAGTTGACCACTGATCCCTGCTCCATGTTAATGTAAGCAAATATGAAAAACTGCTACTCCTAATGTGAACATGCTCAATTTATTAACAGATTTGGGAAGACAATTAGCAGAGAAAAAGACAAAATATTTATGACAGGCTGTAAAATTAACCACAGAACATAGTTCAGATTAAGTCTACTCTACTGACCATAAAAGTGCACTTACAGGTTGGTTGAAGGCAGCCTGCCAACCCCAGGTATAAGTACTGTTAGGCTCTGGCAGGCCGTGAGGGTTGGGGCCCATGAAACCCACAGCGCTCTCCATGTCCACTGGCATAAGCAACTGCCCAGGTACCACAGACCTCTGGGCACCACCATTCAGCGACCTAGACCTCCATGCGGACTGAGGGGGATATTCTCTAAGTTTTCCGTCCTGGAACAGCTCCTCCCATGGGGTGAGGTAAAGAGGGAGATCCCCTTCCTCAACCACATCAGACTTTCCCAACAAGTTCGAAACCATGTTCAGCATTCCCACCTCTCTGTCCCCTTCCGTCTCATCCATGGAACCCGTGACCTTTCCTGGTTGAACTGCATCAGGCGCCTTCATAGCCTGGAAGTAAATTTCATAGGAAGGTGTAGAGGCATAGATGTCGACCTGATCGAGTTCCACGTTCACTGCCGCTACGCTGCCATCCTGTAGGTCCGTGTTCTTGAATGCTTGTGCTACGCTGCCCTCCACTGGCCACTGGAGTTCAGCATACGACTCGCCGTGTGGGGTGACCAAAAGCGCATTCTGACCACAGTCGGGGGAGATCTGGTCTGGCCAGCAATTTGCCAGCAGAGGAACGTAGTGGCAGTCAGATACTGTGGGAGGTGCATCATCACTATGGATAAAATCCCTGTTATTAGAGCCGTGTGCAGCCTGGCCCTGACTGCTAACATAAGGGTGCTTACAGTCCTCTTGGATGCCGCTTAGGTCACAGTTCATTGTCAAAACGCTCTGCAGTGTTATAGACTCCACTGATTCTCCTGGCCACAGTTCAGAGTCCTTGAGTTCTGTCTGTGAACTTCCTAAATTGCTGAAAGGGAGATGTGTATCTAACAGACTAACCTGACCACAAGGCCAAGGACTCTCACCAACATGAGGCTGCACTGGGATTCCTGCCTGATTTCCAGACTCTCTGGATGCACAAGGCAAAGACTCACCCTTTTGGATCCATTTCCTGCAATCTACCTGGTCTGGCAACAATCTATGCAACTCTGAAACATCCTCAGTGCTGCAGAAAACTTCTGCGGTTTGAACTCCTGCCTCCCCAATCTGACTTAGGGGACCCTGTGGCCTGGAATCTAAACTTTGATTAGAAACATCTGCAGGATCAGAGTCGTCAACTTGATCTGATATTCCACAGACGGCCACACAGTCCGAGGAATCTTGTCCTTCAGCAAGATAAGAACTTGAGACATCTGCAATAGCCATACAACCGAGGCGACTAGTTCCACCCTCTCTTCCAAGAATAATCTCTACGGTGTCATTCTTGTCAGCGAGTGGTGCACAGATGCCCTTTTCACAGCAAGCTGCCCTCGTGGATGAGGACAAACAAAATGACTTGACACACGCACTCGCTATTTGTGACTGGACAGACTGATCCCCTGTGTCTGAGGGATCACACCAAATTGAATGATTTGCTGCAGGTGTCGTCAGCAGTGGTTCTGAGGAACAGTGCACTTCACAGATATGAGGCCAGTTTCCAGATGTGTCTGACTCCCCATGTGTCTGACACTGTGCCACAGCACTGGGTGTCCTGAGTGTGTGATTCCAGTGTACATCCAGAGATCCATTTTTACATTCCGCTGTTGGCAGATGTCCTACAGATGGTTGAGTCTTCCGCTCAGAGGCTGTTTCAAGGAAAGCGGGCTCTTCCAGCAGCCAAGTCTTACTCACACCGGGGTCTTTGACCAGCCTCTCATTCTGCATCTGCTCCTGGTCTGACTCTTTCCTTGTCAAAATGTGTGTGCCCCCCATGGCCATTACACTGCTTTCTACAGCTCTCCTGCCACAAAAGTCACTTAGCACAGGTTTGATGACGCAATCACCAGGCTGCTCCAGATTTTCCGCCGGTGCTGCCATTTCTGACAGCTGACCAGTATTCACAAGCTGGATAAAATGCATGTTTGTACCACCTGAGCTTTTGTGTTTAGGTTCAAACTCAACAAGCCCCACCGTTTGGAAATACTCACCCATGTTTTCACCAGCCAACTCATACATGGCAACAGGAGAAACCAATGGATTTACAGAACACTCACTGCTTCTGCTTAAGGCGGCCTGCTGATTAGTTGCTTCAAATGTGTGAGTGGCAGAATTAATGTCAGCAGTAGCCTCAGAGTGGAAGTCATTTGACCCCTGACCTTGTTCCCTTGTGGTCACATGATGGGAACAGTCACCACTTGACTGAATGATATCCACATTGACAGACATATCATTTGAAAACACCTCAGCATCTAAAGGAAGAACACAGGAAACCAAGGTGGACTTGTCTACATGCTCTTCGTCACATTCCCACAGAGAAGGCACAGAGGGGTGACAGGTGACAAGAACATCTTCAGCTTCAGTTTCTGAGCACTTTGTGAAAAGCCTGCCCCTTTCACTTTCGAGGAAATCCTTGCGCCCTCTACTCAGATGTTCCGAAGCTGAAATTCCAGAAGCTTGGCTCAGAGATGCTGTTTCACCACATGTTCCATTCCCCGCAACAGCTGAGGAACTTGTCTTCAGAAGAATTCCCGACGGCACAGAGGAACATACCCCACTCTCATTTTCCATGTCTTTGATATCAATAGAACAGATGCTATAGAAACTCTGAGTCCTGGTTTTCAGTTTATGCCCCATGGCAGACACTAGATGTGACTCACGGTCCCCTGTGAACGTGCTCCTACCTGAACCCAGGGCCTCCTTAACCTGAGAGTCCTCAGTCTTCGACGTAGAAACACTTTCCTCTCCCGGTTTGTTAGCACTCACAGACAGCTGCATGTTCTCTGTGGACATGGCAGCATTTTCTTTACAGTTTCCATCAACAACTGCTCTGCCATAACAGGAAGCACAACGGCTTCCAGAGCCCCTTAATGTTTCTGGTGATCTTCTGCTCAGAGATTTCGAATGTCCTCCCGAGGAAGGAACACTAAGGCGACCGTGTCCCTCTATGTCCACATTCCCAATTTGGGCTTCAAGCATCATCCCTCTTGCCATGTTTCCCACCATGTCTCTGCTGGTGGAGCTAGACATCTCTCCCACGCTGGGTTTCTCGCTAGTGTGCTTGGGGCTCTCCTTGGGGCGCTGGCTTCCTTCTTCTCCAGCAGCAGAACATTTCACTACTTGCTTATTAATAGCCCCTTTCGGCGTCCCGTGATCTTGGACAGGCCATGCCCAAAATACGCTGCGGCCCCACACGTGGCCCAAGTCACCCCCGCTGGAGTGCTGTACCAAGTCCCTCTCCGTAGCGCGGCCCGACCTTCCGTTCCTGCTGACCCATCCAGCAGACCTCTCCTCGTGCTCCCACACCACCTCCTTCACCGAATCCTCCTGGAGGGACGCGTGGAGGAGACTCGTCCGTTCAGTGGTCACATTTGGGTTCAGCTCTTTACTGAAGCAGCAGCCCATGTCAGCAGTGCCCCTACACTCTCACCTCACAGCGGCCAGACAGCAAGGCGAGGCAGAATGAGCCTCAACACTAACTGGGCTAGGAGAAAGTCCCCTGGGGGGCCTAAAATAGCACATTAAAATCTGTGTGAAGGACACACTTGCTCTTGTCATTCATTCAAGACCACTATCCCCCCCTGCGGGAGGCATGTGTGTCGTATGAATGGCACTGAGGGCCCCTCTGGTTTGGGCCAGACCTAGGGGGAGCCGTGGGATACGATTCAGCTGTGGAGCTGAGCTTTACTGGACAGCATGGAGCAGTGAGGCTCTAGAGACACATGCAACACATGACACTGAGTGGCGCAAGGAGATTTTAAAAAGCAGAATAAAAAAAAGAGGATCCACTTCAGAAGAGACCAATGGAACCGCTCCGTCCTGAAGGGACTCACACTCCCCAAAAACCAGAGAGGTAGAATGAGGCGAAAACTCACAGCGTCTCACTGTGGCTCTGAATGACATTACAAGCAACGTGCTCAGCTAGGGATGGGCGGTACACTGGTGCGATTGTGCACCACCATATGGATTTGCAATATACTGTTAACACCACAAGATTTCAACAGCCTAATTATACAACAGCATATTTATAAAAAATATTAAGGTATTTTATTTTCTTTAAAGCTTCAGTTGTAATCTGAATACTTGTGCTTATATAGTCTTTATCTGGGTTTATCTGTGTTTTCTGAATTTTCTATTAAATACAATCTAATGTCATATTGCGATAAATTCACAAATTCAACATTTTGTGTAATTATACACATTAAACAAAATAACCGAGTTACATATAGATATATTATAGTAGCAAATTAAAAACATATTTGCTAAATCAGCATATATATGCGCTGCTGCCTTCATGCAAGGTGCGTGTTAAAAAACACAATTGCCCAATTAACACTAGTACCGCCGTTTCCCACACCAATGAACGTCAACTGTATGAAGTAATGTTATTTTTTTTAGGGCTGCCAACTCACACACATCTGGCATGACACGATTTCAGACTCAAGCTCACTCAAGAAATCTTACGGCAAATATACACTCACCTAAAGGATTATTATGAACACCTGTTCAATTTCTCATTAATGCAATTATCTTATCAACCAATCACATGGCAGTTGCTTCAATGCATTTAGGGGTGTGGTCCTGGTCAAGACAATCTCCTGAACTCCAAACTGAATGTCAGAATGGGAAAGAAAGGTGATTTAAGACATTTTGAGCGTGGCATGGTTGTTGGTGCCAGACGGGCCGGTCTGAGTATTTCACAATCTGCTCAGTTACTGGGATTTTCACGCACAACCATTTTTAGGGTTTACAAAGAATGGTGTACAAAGGGAAAAACATCCAGTATGCGGCAGTCCTGTGGGCAAAAATGCCTTGTTGATGCTAGAGGTCAGAGGAGAATGGGCCGACTGATTCAAGCTGATAGAAGAGCAACTTTGACTGAAATAACCACTCGTTACAACCGAGGTATGCAGCAAAGCATTTGTGAAGCCACAACACGCACAACCTTGAGGCGGATGGGCTACAACAGCAGAAGACCCCACCGGGTACCACTCATCTCCACTACAAATAGGAAAAAGAGGCTACAATTTGCACGAGCTCACCAAAATTGGACAGTTGAAGACTGGAAAAATGTTGCCTGGTCTGATGAGTCTCGATTTCTGTTGAGACATTCAAATGGTAGAGTCAGAATTTGGCATAAACAGAATGAGAACATGGATCCATCATGCCTTGTTACCACTGTGCAGGCTGCTGGTGGTGGTGTAATGGTGTGGGGGATGTTTTCTTGGCACACTTTAGGCCCCTTAGTGCCAATTGGGCATCGTTTAAATGCCACGGCCTACCTGAGCATTGTTTCTGACCATGTCCATCCCTTTATGACCACCAAGTACCCATCCTCTGATGGCTACTTCCAGCAAGATAATGCACCATGTCACAAAGCTCGAATCATTTCAAATTGGTTTCTTGAACATGACAATGAGTTCACTGTACTAAAATGGCCCCCACAGTCGCCAGATCTCAACCCAATAGAGCATCTTTGGGATGTGGTGGAACGGGAGCTTCGTGCCCTGGATGTGCATCCCACAAATCTCCATCAACTGCAAGATGCTATCCTATCAATATGGGCCAACATTTCTAAAGAATGCTTTCAGCACCTTGTTGAATCAATGCCACGTAGAATTAAGGCAGTTCTGAAGGCGAAAGGGGGTCAAACACCGTATTAGTATGGTGTTCCTAATAATCCTTTAGGTGAGTGTATATTACTCCATTATGAACCTAAAATTAGTGATATTAAAAGCACTGGGGTAGTTTGCAAACCCTTCAGATTATTTACAAGGTAATAAATCTGTTATATAAATGTAAATGCATGTGCGTGCAGACTTCTCAAAATGAAAACCTCACTCCAGCCAACTGACTAAAGTTGTCAACCCTGCATTTATTTGAAATGAACCGTAAAATGCACTGTTTTCAGGTGAAAAAGTCTTGTCATTCCCTTTGCATTGTTACTCCGACAATTATAAAACAAATGAGAAACCGTTACCCATATCACACATATTTATTGAAATAAGACTGCCCATACCCAACTGTAACAGCGAATAAATTGTACTTAATATAAAATATTTTTAATAGGGGCAGGACATGCTACTCCTCCCAAAACTTGGGAAAAAATAATACTGTAACATAATACTGTCACTGTCCAAAATGTGAAAAATATAGTGATAATTTTACATCATATTGCCCACCCCACCACCCCCCACAGTGGCCCCTCCCCCGAGACGGCAGAGTGTAGAGACTGTGACCACCAGGAGGGTGTTCATGGGGAAGCCCTTTTTAAACAAAGAACACACCCCTGACTGAATTATAAACGGCCAAAGCCTGGAAGTGAAAGGTCTGCTGCCTGACATGACCAAAGATCGGAACACACAAAGCACACATTACGGAGAGTTCCAATCACCATAGAGGGTGTACATCACATCGAGCCAGGTAAGAAAGGGGAACTGCAGCAGCACCCCCTTTCTGAATCACATCACAACCCCCCCCCCCCCCCCTAAGGGTGAGGGGCCCTAGCAATAAAGCAAGGAAATCGGCCAGCCTCCTACCGGGTGACAGATCTCAGAGGCTTCCTGGACACGCTGTGGCTCAGCAATGACTTCGGCGTCCCGGTCAGAAGTCATGAGCCTGTTGCAGGCGGGAGCCCCAGGGAGAAACCTCGCTGGTCCCAGGAGAGCTGCAGACAGATGGGGCTGGTGAGACTGCGACCGCCCCCTCCTGTGCACAAGACAGTGACTGGTGTACATACACACACACACACACACACACACACACACACACACTCTTCAGGAGGGCAGGGCAACATAATTAAACAATAAAACATAACACATATGGGGGGGTCACATTCTTTTCCTGTACAGTTAATGAACCTCCATACCAAGTACATAGCCACAAGGTTAAAAAGGGGGATTTCACCCCTCCAAATAAATAAATAAATGTCACCGATCAGGCATGTAGCCAGGCAGTAAAATTACACAGACCAACCTATGTGTGGGGTTGCCCGGACCCCCATGAAATTTATTTATGGCTTCATAAATAGACACCAAGTCATGTTTCATTTACT